GGGAGGGGTTGGGGGGGCAACACTTGCTCTCTCTCTCGCCGCTCTCTCTCTCTCACTGTAGAACTTGCCCCCGTGTCTCTGGCAGCTTCAGGGCCAGCGAGCTGCCCACGGCGAGTGCCGCCGACGCCAACAGGATGGGCACCGCTTTGGTGATGCCCACGAAGGAGGTGAAGATGCTGATGCCCAGGACGGCGGCCAGTTTGCACAGGGCGTTGAGGAAGCCGAAGGCGGTGGTCCTGCAGGGGAGGGGGGAGATGGAGGAGACACGGGAGAGGTGAGGTCGGGGGCCCCTGCAGCAGGCGCCCAAGGCAAAGGCGCGGCTGGCTGTTCGAGGGCAGACATACGGGCAAAGCTGCCAAGATCGGTGGTGCTTACAAAGTCTGGCATGTGCCAGGTGTTTCGGTTCACGGGTGAGACGGGAAGACTCACTCTGCGCCATATTGGATGTCCTCGACAGAGCCAGGGAGGTGAGTACAGCGGGCACACGTGGCCCCGCTGGGCACTGCCTGCTCAGGGGCTGGCTGGCTGGCCGGCCAACCTTGAGCCCCACTGCTCTCCTTGCTAGTGTTCCCTCTAAGCTGAGTTAGTGTGAGCTAGCACCCAGGTTTTTAGCCTCCGGCTCACATATTTTTGCCTCAGCTCAGGAAGGGATGGCTCCAGAGCAAACTGATTTATGCAGTATCCAGATCGCTCACTCGCAACTTTAATGCCAGCAGCTCAGAAAGCAGAAATTTTGCTCACAAGACTCCACAGCTTAGAGTGAGAACTGCTCCTTGCGCCCCCTGACTTAGGCGTACACCCCAGGCCTCCTTAAAACAACAGCCCTGTCAGGCAGGCCAGGATTATTCCCCCCCACCACATGTTGCTGTGGAGGTGGAGGGGTGGCAGCTTCAGCAAATGCCCTTGCGCCAGTGGGTGGCAAGGGTGAGATTCCAACAGAAGAAGAAGAAGAGATTGGGTTTATACCCCGCCCTTCAGTACCCAGAGGAGTCTCGGAGCGGCTTACAAACTCCTTCCCCTTCCCCTCCACACCACAGGCACCCCCTGTGAGGTAGGCAGGGCTGAGAGAGCTCTTTCGAGGACTGCCCTTGAGAGAGCAGCTGTGCCAGAACTGTGGCTTGCCCGAGGTCATCCAGCAGCTGTGAGTGGAGGCGTGGGGGATCAAACCCGGTTCTCCCAGATTAGAGTCCGCGCACTTAAAGCATTACACCGAACTGGCTCTCTAGTGCACAGCCCGCTTTCTGAGGGAACTGGCTATGCTAGATCAACGGATTTCTAATTCGGTTCTGAAATTCAAGCCCCCCCGGTTCCCCCCCCAACTGTCTTCTCCATGGAAGCTTCTCTAAGGGCCCCTGTCCCACCTGGCCTCTTCCTCTTGAGATGGACAGAAAACTCAGGAAGGCCAGAAGCCACCAGCTCTTTTTCCAGGTGGCGTTTTCCGACTGCCCTGGCCTAGTGCTGGATCCCGGATCCTGAATGCCAGCCTTCTTTCAAAAAGCAAAACCTCTCTATTGAGTATAGCAGCCAAAATTCTGATAGCTCAGCTTTGGAAACAAGCTACCATACCCAGGGGCGGATTAACCATTAAGTGGACTAGGCACGTGCTTAGGGCACCAGGGCCAAAGGGGGCACCACAAAGTTGGGGAAAGGGTGAAAAGAAAAGAAAAGAAAAACGAATGAAGATTTGTAAAAAAATATTTTTTTTATAAAACTAGTGCAAATTGATCATGGTGCGCCCGAGGGCTGTCTTCTATTTTTTGTTGGCGAGGTATTAATTACAAGGATATTATCAGTGATTTTGCGAAAATGAAATGTGGAAAAATGCCTTTCAGGTCATGAATATTGGAACTTTGATACATTTAACTTGTGAAATATTACAATAGATGTTGTATTGCATTTTTGTAAAACTTTATGTAGCCCAAGCTTGGCTTAGTTTGTACAGTATATTGTGTTCTCATATGAATAAATTTTCGTATTGCTGCAACCTGCATTGTATATCTGATCAGACAGGTCAACGACTAAAATGGACTGGGGGTCAGTGTGGAAAAGAGGAGGGGGCACCAAGATGGGTCCGTGCTAAGGGCACCAGTGAGCCTTCATCCGCCCCTGACAATACCTTCTCTGAAACAACGGTTCCCTAAAATACGGGACATTGCAGCAAAGGATAAAATTGCAAGACAATTGATAGCGTCTCCTACAAAGGCATACGATTTTGTTGAAAAGTGGTTTCCCTTTTTTTGACTATGTTACTTCTGATCCTAAAGGAGCATGTGTACTACCTAGAAAATATATGGACTTCATATTTTATTAACCATGGTCATACTCATGAGTGTAATTCAAAAGTTTGTATTGGTGTATCTGTCGTATACGATTTGTTCTACAGATTGTTATTTGTATATTTGTTGTATATTTCTTGTTAAAAGTAATACAAAAATATATAAGTAATAAAAGTAAAAAGTTGGAATCCAAGTCTTACGAGGAAAGGCTGAAAGGGTTGGGTCTGTTTAGCCTGGGAAAGAGAAGGCTTAGAGGGGACATGGTTGCCGTCTTCAAGTATCTAAAGGGCTGTCATGTAGAAGATGGAGTAAATCTATTCTCTCTTGCTCTTGATTGCAAGACTAGATCTAATGGGTGGAAATTACAAGGGAGTCGTTACCGGCTAAATATCAGGAGAAACTTCCTGACTGTAGGAGTGGTTGAGCCGTGGAACAGACTGCCTCGGGAGATGGTGGATGCTCCTTTCGCTGGATGTTTTCAAGCAGAGGCTGGACGACCATCTTTCGGGTCTGTTGTAGGGCTATCTTTCGGCTGTGCTCCTGCAGAGTGCAGGGGGTTGGACCATTAGACCTAGTCTTGCAATCCGGAGCAAGAGAGAATAGATCTGCTCCATCTTCTACATGACAGCCCTTCAGATACTTGAAGACTGCAATCATTCATGTCCCCTCTAAGCCTTCTCTTTCCCAGGCTAAACAGACCCTAACTCTTTCAGCCTGTCCTCGTAAGACTTGGATTCCAACCCTCTCACCATCCCGGTTGCCCTCTTCTGGACACGCTCCAGCTTGTCAACACCCTTCCTCAAATGTGGTGCCCTCTGTGTCTCTGTGCGCGCGCGCGCACGCACCTACATGTGCTTGCTCTTGATCCACTCCCTCTCACCCCTCCCGGGTGCGGGGTCCCAGTTTTGCTTCATCCAGCTCCCCCGCTTCATCCAGCCCCCCCCCCCCCGCTTCATTCACCGCCTCCCTAGGGAAAAGCAAGCCCAGGGAACCCGCCTCTCTCCCGGGGGCCTCTCCGGTGCGTTCTGTACTGCTGCTCCTGGCCTCAGCAGCTCTCAAGGGACTCCCGGGCAGAGGCAGCGTGCCTGGCGGCTTCAGGCATTGGCCATGTTTGTCCTCATTTCCAGTGCTGCACAGCCGGCCTCCTTGCCTGTGCCGCATTTAGTCCAAAAGGACGTTGGGGGGGGGGGAGAATGGGGAACTGTGACATCATGAGAGCGCAGTGAGGAAGAGCCGCAGTCAGAGCTTTGGATGGCAGGTGACCGTCTTGGGATTCTAGGACTCTTTTTTTCTTTTCTTCCACTGCCGCTGCGGCACCGAGAGTGTCCTTTTCAGGACGCGGCTCCCAGTCAGCCGCAAAGGCAGCGCTGCGACGGGGAAATCAGGTCAGCACACTTGCCCGGCACTTGGAACAGAACCGACGAGCCCCCGCCCTCGGATGCAGACTACAGGAGTTAGTGCCAGGGGCCCTCGTGGCAGCAAAGGCCAGAAAGCCGGTGAGGAAACAGAGAGCTGGAAGGGAACCCAAGGGTCATCTAGTCCAACCCCCGGCACGATGCAGGGAATTCAAAGTTACGAGCGTTGCTCGACAATCAGTGCCTTCCTTCCTTTTTAAAAAAAGTCAATTTCTAGATCTCATGGCAGGTTGAGATTCTGGGACTAATGATAATTTATCTCCTGGGATTTGGGGGAGGTTTGGGGAGGGGGAAAGAGGAGGAACCCCCCCCCCGCAATCCGCTGTCTGGCAGGACAGGTGCCCTTTCAGTTTTAAAGGACTGTTTATTTTCTATGGCAAGATCTGGCCCGTGACATATGGATGCCACGTCTACCCCTATTGAAAACAACGGCCCTTTACCATTGAAAGAGGAAAAGAGACCACTGAGAGGTGATTGGACAACCATCTTCAAGGACTCGAAGGGCTGTCCTCTAGAGGACGTTGAGATTTGTGCTGAGAGTGCTGAAGTTGCAAGGTTGAGAATTAAGTTTTTGGCTAAATCAAGGTTGAGAATCAAGTTTTTGGCTAATTAGGAAGGCCTTCCTGACAGAGCGGTACCTCAGTGGAACAGGCTTCCCCGGGAGGAGGTGGTGGGCAATGCTCCCTCTAAGCTGTGGGGTCCTGTGAGCAAAAATCCTACTTTGTGAGCGACTGGCATTAAAAGTTGTGAGTGAGCAATTTGGCTGCTGTATATATTAGTTTGCTCTGGAGCCCCCCTTCCTGAGCGAAGACAAAAATGTGTGAGCTGGAGGCTAAAAAACTGTGAGCTAGCTCACGCTAACTCAGCTTAGAGGGAACACTGGTGGGCTCTCCTTCTCTGGAGGTTTTCAGACAGAGGTGATTAGATGGCCATCTGACAGCCATGCTGATTCTGTGCCCTTAGGCAAACGGTGGCCAAGAAGGGATGAGCTTGCTCTCGTGGGCAGGAATCCAGGCGGGGTGTGTGTGTGTGTTTGCCTTTCTCTGGGCACAGAACGGGGATCACTGGGGGAGCGTTGGTGGGAGGTCGCTGTGAATTTCCTGAATGGTGCAGGGGACTAGATGACCTTCGGTGTCCCTTCCAGCGCAATGTTTCTATCGATTGAACTGCTCTGTGCCTGGCTATGGTTCCCTGTTCTCCTTCTCTCCTGCTCCCACGGCCCCTGGGTGGAGATGGGGGAAAGGTCAGTTCCCCAAATTCTGGATTCCACCCCCCCCCAAAGTACCCAAAACGGAACCTGAATCAGTAATCAACAACTGTCCCAAAATCTCAGAATAGAGAAGAAGAAGTAGTAGAGGAAGAAGAAGAAGAGGAGGAGGAGGAGGAGATTGTCTCAGAGCGGCTCACAAACTCCTCTCCCTTCCCCTCCCCACAACAGACACCCTGTGAGGCGGGTGGGGCTGAGAGAGCTCTTGACAGAAACTGCTCTTTTTCAAAGACAGCTCTTGTCAGAATTACGGCTTGCCCAAGGTCATCCAGCCAGGTGCAAGTGGAGGAGCGGGGAAACCAAACCCGGTTCTCCCAGATGAGAGTCCGCGCACTTCACCACCACACCAAACTGAATAACGAAAAGCAGGTTCTCCCCAATATCCCAAAATGAAATTAATACGAAATTTTAGGAAGAGTACGACCCAGCACTCCAGCTGGCGAATAGAACAGGAGCTGCCGGGGCCCGGACTCCACAAGTGGCCCTTCCAGCCTCGGTGGAGAGGGGCCCTTTGTGGCGGGAGGCTGGCCTACCTTTTGTCCGAGGGGTACAGCTCCACCGTGAGGACGTCCAGGGCGTTCCAGGAGGCGATGCTGACTCCCCCGAAGAGGCAGAGGAGGGCGATCATGGCCGACTCGCTGTTCCCGAAGGACAAGAAGAAGCAGCTCACGCAAGACATGACGCTCGACCCGGCTGCGTGGCCAGCAGGAGGGGGGGGAGAGACGGGGAGAGAGAGAGAGAGAGCCCGGTCAGTCAGGGGGCTTCCGGAAAGAAGGGGCGACACAGCCGGGGTGAGGGGAGTGTCATTCCCAGCATTGGGGTCTCATCCAGCAGCCTCCGCTCAGCTCCTGCCTCAACCAGAAGTCACACAGCTTATGAAGGGTAGCAAGGGGGGGGGGGGAGAACTGATGTGAACCACCTGTTGGGATACCTTCCGCTAAAGGCAGTATCCCCCCCCGCTCCAGTAGAAGACACCCGCTGAAGAAGAAGAAGAAGAGGAGGAGGAGGAGGAGGAGACTGGATTTATACATCGCTTGGAGTCTCAGAGCGGCTTCCAAACTCCTGTCCCTTCCCCTCCCCACAACAGACACCCTGTGAGGTGGGTGGGGTTGAGAGAGCTCTGACAGGAACTGCTCTTTTTCAAGGACAGCTCTGACAGAACTATGGCTTGCCCAAGGTCATCCAGCAACTGCAAGTGGAGGAGTGGGGAATCAAACCCAGTTAAGAATATAAGAGAAGCCAATGTTGGATCAGGCCCATGGCCCATCCAGTCCAACACTCTGTGTCACACAGTGGCCAAAAATACCAGGTGCCATCAGGAGGTCCACCAGTGGGGCCAGGACACCAGAAGCCCTCCCACTGTTGACCCCCCCCCAAGCACCAAGAAGACAGAGCATCACTTGCCCCAGAGTTCCTCTCTATACCTTGTGGCTAATAGCCACCGATGGACCTCTGCTCCATATGCTTATCTCCCAGATTAGAATCCACGCTCTTAAGCGCTACACCAAACTGGGAGGTGGAGAATGGAAGAACGCAGAGCCAAAATCCAGGTTCACTTCCTGGGACACTTTCGATGTGCCAGACCCCTTATCTCTCCTGAGAGCTTTCATGTCCTTGAGTGTCATCTTTCTGTGCTTGCTTTTGTCATAGGGGGGGGGGATGGGGGGGCATATCCAGTCGCTGCATTGTTGGGCAAGAATGGGACAGTCAGGGATAGCCATCTTGTTTTTAGGAATTTTAGGAGATTGGAAATTTTGCTGAGAGGAGCATCAAAATCTGTTTTAATAGGGTTGTAACTTAATATTTTGTATTGTTTTACTGTTTTATCTGGCATTATGCCCTGTAAGCCGCCCTGAGCCTCCAGGGAGGGCGGGATAGAAATGCGACAAATAAATAAATAAATAAATAAATAAATAAATAAATGGTACTGAGAGGGGGGTGGCCAGTAGTTCCATTTGGCAGGCAAAATCCCAAAGGGTGATTTGTTCTGAACCTTTAGGGCCCTTGATTGAACTCTGTATATCTATAGCTTTTCGCGCCTTTAACCCCAGTTCTAACACACCTGGTGTACAAGCTGGACCCTATCGATGTCTCAATAAACTTCTGCTCCTCCAGAGTGAATGTTTTTGGGCACTGATTTATCCAGAAGTCTGACAAAGAGGCCCTTCAAGGGGAAGGTTTCTTGCACCGGGGGTGGGGGTGGGGGGAGGCAGATCCAGACAGGAGTTCAAAGTGGGAGCAAAAGAGAGAGAATTCTTCACTGTTGGGTATTTCTTCCCCCGTTCACAAACACAGCTGGCAACCACTGTTCCCTCTAAGCTGAGTGAGTGTGAGCCAGCTCACAGTTTTTTAGCGTCCGGCTCAGACGTTTTTGTCTCAGCTCAGGGAGGAGGGCTCCAGAGCAAACTAATTTCTGCAGCAGCCAAATTGCTTGCTCACAACTTTAATGCCAGTCGCTCACAGAGTAGAATTTCTGCTCACAAGACTGCACTGCTTAGAGGGAGCATTGCTGGCGACACCAGCGGGTGAACATGCACTCTGGACTCCAAGTCCTGACAGTGCAGCGTGCAGTCCATAGAGCTGCAAGGGAACCCCAGGTCAATGCTCCCTCTAAGCTGTGGAGTCTTGTGAGCAAAACTTCCACACTTTGTGAGCTACTAGCATTAAAGTCATGAGCCAGCGATTTGACTGTGGCATAAACTACATTGCTCTGGAACCATCTTTCCTGAGCTAAGACAAAAATCTGTGAGCTGGAGGCTAAAAAACTGTGAGCTGGCTCACACTAACTCGGCTTAGAGGGAACACTGCCCCAGGGTCATCTCACCCTGCCCCAGTGCTTGGCTTTTACACAGGGCCCCTCTGGACCAAAAGTTGAAGTAAAGCAAACCACAAGCGGCACCCCAGTGGGATCCCCGCCGCGCCCCTGGTTGCTCAGCAGCCCCCGTGGGAGGGGTGCCAGGGCCCTCCCGCCC